AAGATATAGAGCGTTGCTTTGCTCTCATCCTTTTCACCAGATGTGAGCTTACGGTCCGTAATGCAGAGAGTTCACCGGACCACTGGTCTCTGGTTGACTTGAGGAGACCATCTGTTGATATTAGTGCGACAACGTCCGAGGTGGCCGACCATCTCCTATTGACCGAGGGCCGAAAACAACAACAGCCGGCTGTTATTGGCCGTACTCACCCACTTTTTGGTTGCGCTCCTCATCTACCACGGCTGTTATTGGCCGTACTCACCCACTTTTTGGTTGCGCTCCTCATCTACCACAACCTTGGGTGAGACGACGGTACCTATTACTGGGGACAACTAACAAAGACAACGAAGCAGGAGTGGAGTTAAAAAAAAAACGAGAGAAGGAGAGAAAAAGAAAGGAAGAGGGGCCGCTGTGTGGGGATGGTGGGCGGGGGACGCGCTGTCCGCGGTCCATCTCCGCTCCCCGCCGGCCTCTGCCGCAGACTGACGGCTGTCCCCTCCGTCCCGTTTCCCCCTCCCTCCCCGTCCTCGCCCCCTCCCCACAGAGTGTTCTCCCGACCCTGCCTCGGACCAGGCGGCTCGCGGAGTCTTCAATTCGCGCCTCGTCGAGCCACTAAACTTCATTAGGGGGCCCTAATGTCGATTAGTGTTTCCTCCTCTATCGCCATTGTCCCGTGCTCCCATTCCCATTTGGCTGTTATCACGTTCCGTTGAACATGACGCCTACATGTCACTCGGCCATTACGAAACCCTCCCCCGGGGCCTGGGTTCCCACCATTCCGCGCTGGGGCCGCGGGCGCTGCGAACCGGTCCAGATCATCATGCGTCATGAAATCTCTCGGCCGCATGGCCATGGCCTGACGCGCGGGGTCGGTGAAAAAGGAATTCGTTGCTCCGCAGGCCGCCGTAAAACGCTAACATGCATGCAACCCACACGCACCGCTGGTCCAAGACCGATGAAAATAACGACCCCAAACGCGTTTACAGCCGTCGAAGAGCGGATATGTCGAGCGCCTGCCGGCGGGGCTCCGCCCCACCGCTTCGGTGCTCGTAGCCCCGGAACGCGGCCGCTGGATTAGGGGGGTATCCCGACCGCCATTGGCCGCCCCCACTGTAGATGAAAGCGTCTCACTGCTGCCAGATACTGCCGCGCGCTGGCCACTGCTAGTCCCGCACGTCTCATAACTCCCACGAAGTAAGTGAGCGTGTCATCGGAAGCCGGCACGCCAATGTCATACTCGTCCCGCCTTCCCCTTCCCTCCCCGGGGCGGGGGGGGGGTCCTCCTCCCGGCCGACCGTCCAAGCCCAACGAGGGCGGCGACCCCGTCGAGCCGCCGCGCCGCGGCCGGCCCGGCGCGGCGGTCCCCAACGGTCATATAACCCACGGCAGGGAAACCGGAGGGCTGTTCACGGACCCTAGGGCTGTTCACGGACCCTGTGTGCGGTCGGACCGCACACAGCCTCCAAGCTCCGCCCACTGCGTCCCTACGTCAGCCTTGCGTCACCGCACACAGCGACCGCTGTGGCCGGTCGGGACTGGCCACAGCGGACCGTCCACCGCACGCAGCCGTGACGTCAGAGCCGCCTACCCATCCCCTACCCCCACGCCTGCTGGACGTACCGCACACACCGCACGCAGCAGTGTGCGGTGCCCGTGAACACCCCTCCTGTCTGCGGTCGGACCGCACACAGCCTTCAAGCTCCGCCCACTGCGTCCCTACGTCAGCCTTGCGTCACCGCACACAGCAACCGCTGTGGCCGGCCACAGCGGACCGTCCACCGCACGCAGCCGTGACGTCAGAGCCACCTACCCATCCCCTACCCCCCCCCCCCCCCCCCCGCCTGCTGGACGTACCGCACACACCGCACGCAGCAGTGTGCGGTGCCCGTGAACACCCCTCCGGGCCACTCGCTCGCCATCACGACGGTCCCTGTGTCTCAGGACTGTCATACTCGTCTCGCCTTCCCCTCCCCCTCGGGACCCCCCTCCTCCTCCTAGCCGACCGTCCGAGCCCAACGAGGGCGGCGACCCCGCCTAGCCGCCGCCCCGCATCGGCCGGCCCGGCGCGGCGGTCCCCCAATTAACGGTCATATAACACGCCTCGCGACGGCCCAGGACGGCGCTGGATACGGTTTGCCATAAAAGGACACCTGCGCTCATAAACCAGCTGTGGACATAAACCAGCGGATCCCGAGACGGTGACAGGCCGTCTGCGGCGTGCCGCGCCCGTTGACCGACGCCCGTTGGCGCCGCAACCAGCGTCCGACGCCGAGCCGCTCTGGCCGTGTCGTGGGAGAATGCCGCCAAACCCACTCGCCGGGCAGACCACTATACGTTATACCAGGCCAACCTCAAACCGATCCATTACCAAGTAAAGCCGGGGCATTATCCGCTCACCCCCGCGGTCACCTATGACGTTCGCCCACCGGCCCGACCCAAGTTCCCAGGTCAGGGCGGAATCGGCCGCTGCCCGGTCACGCACCGAACTGACCTAACGTATCCAAGCCATGTCACTCAGACCCCGTCGTGGCGCCCGCCGTGCGAACCTCGCATTCCCAGGTCCGTCGCCGATCCGGCCTCTGCCAGGCCTGTACCGCACTGACCTAACATTACCAGGTCAGTCGCCGAACCGGCCTCTGTCCGCACCGACCTCACCGAACCGGCCGCAGTCCGAACCGGCCTCTGCCAGGCCTCATACCGAACTGACCTAACATTCCCAGGTCAGTCACCGAACCGCCTCGCCGAACCGGCCTCTGTCTGCACCGGCCTCATCGAACCGGCCTCTGTCCGCACCCGCCTCTGCCAGGCCTCGCACCGGACTGACCTAACATTCCCAGGTCAGTCGCCAAACCGGCCTCGCCGAACCGGCCTCTGTCTGCACCGGCCTCACCGAACCGGCCTCTGCCCGCACTGGCCTCACCGAACCGGCCTCTGTCCGCACCGGCCTCACGAACCGGCCTCTGTCCGCACCGGCCTCACGAACCGGCCTCTGTCCGCACCGGCCTCACGAACCGGCCTCTGTCCGCACCGGCCTCACGAACCGGCCTCTGTCCGCACCGGCCTCACGAACCGGCCTCTGCCCGCACCGGCCTCACGAACCGGCCTCTGTCCGCACCGGCTTCACCGAACCGGCCTCTGTCCGAACCGGCCTCTGCCAGGCCTCGTACCGAACTGACCTAACATTCCCAGGTCAGTCGCCGAACACGATACATACAGCCAACGACACTGCACACAGCACGTGGTTACGATGCAGATACCGGCGGACCGGACCCACCTGCCATTCCAACGGTGCCGGGTCCGTAGTGTTGCGCGGAGTCCATGGTCCGCGTCCCGCTCTGGCTCTCACCACCGTACCGTGCACGATAGAGGCCGCGTGATGCCAGCACACGCACGCTATCCTACCACACACGCGCAATCACGCCACCAAACGCGCCACTCGCGGCCCGCCTCTGTTGTCACCGTCGTCCCCTCTCACTGCGCAGGAGATTAGTGATACTCCCACCAGACAGAAGAGTGATACTCCCCCCAGACACGTGATACTCCCAACGGACCAGTGATACTCGATTCGTGTCCCGCCGTCTGGGGCGGGCCTGCCATAAAGGGGAGGGGGAGGGGTCCAGGGTCGTAAACCATCTGTAGCCCGGCTCCGCCGGTTCGACCGCAGCCGGCCCGGCACGGACGCCGCCGCGCACGGGCCCGGCACGGACGCCGCCGCGCCGCCGTCACTGAGCCCCGCCGCGCGGGCGGCCCGGCACCCTCGGCCACCCAGGGTCGTAAACCATCTGTATCCCGGCTCCTCCGGTTCGACCGCAGCCGGCCCGGCACGGGCGCCGCCGCGCCGCCGCCGCCGAGCCCCGCTGCGCGCGGGCGGCCCGGCACCCGTCGACCACCACCCGTGTCGGCGCTGACAGTCTGACGGCCTTGCACCCGTGCTGTTGGCCGCTAGCCGGCCCAGTGTCAGCGCTGTTGGCCTGAAACGGCCCGGCACCCGGTCTGTCGGCCGCTGTGGCCCTGTGTCGGCGCTGTCGGCCTGAACCGGCCCGGCACCCGGTCTGTCGGCCGCTGTGGCCCTGTGTCGGCGCTGTCGGCCTGAAACGGCCCGGCACCCGGTCTGTCGGCCGCCCTGGCCCTGTGTCGGCGCTGTCGGCCTGAAACGGCCCGGCACCCGGTCTGTCGGCCGCGGTGGCCCTGTGTCGGCGCTGTCGGCCTGCACGGCCCGGCGCCCGGTCTGTCGGCCGCCATGGCCCTGTGTCGGCGCTGTCGGCCTGCACGGCCCGGCGCCCGGCGTCGGCCGTTACCGGCCCAATCTCGACGTCGTCGGCCTGAAACAGGCCCGGCACCCGGTCTGTCGGCCACTGTGGCCCAGTGTCGGCGCTGTCGGCCTGAAACGGCCCGGCACCCGGTCTGTCGGCCGCCATGGCCCTGTGTCGGCGCTGTCGGCCTGAAAACGGCCCGGCACCCGGTCGGTCGGCCGCAATGGGCCCTGTGTCGGCGCTGTCGGCCTGAAACGGCCCGGCACCCGGTCTGTCGGCCGCCATGGCCCTGTGTCGGCGCTGTCGGCCTGAAACGGCCCGGCACCCGGTCTGTCGGCCGCCATGGCCCTGTGTCGGCGCTGTCGGCCTGAAACGGCCCGGCACCCGGTCTGTCGGCCGCCTTGGCCCTGTGTCGGCGCTGTCGGCCTGAAACGGCCCGGCACCCGGTCTGTCGGCCGCCATGGCCCTGTGTCGGCGCTGTCGGCCTGAACGGCCCGGCACCCGGTCTGTCGGCCGCCATGGCCCTGTGTCGGCGCTGTCGGCCTGCACGCCCCTCGCCCGGCGTCGGCCGTGTACCGGCCCAATCTCGACGTTGTCAGCCTGGAACGGCCCGGCACCCTCCGCTGCCGGTGTAACAAACACACGCACAACACGACTCATAACAGGTACCCGGTAACTCGTCAACACAGCCAGCCATATCACACATGACCCATGTGGAGGACGCTGGTGCCGGCGTACCGGACCCACCTGCCATGCCGTGACTGTCGCGGTCGTAGTGATAAGCGGTGTCCATGCCCCGTTTCTCCACTGAGTCGTCCTCGATGGTGCTCACTAGGCGCCGTACCCACACTTCTCACGAGCCCGACTCACAGGACGTAAAGCACACGCTCTATCACACAGGGACGCGCTGTCCGCGGTCCATCTCCGCTCCCCGCCGGCCTCTGCCGCAGACTGACGGCTGTCCCCTCCGTCCCGTTTCCCCCTCCCTCCCCGTCCTCGCCCCCTCCCCACAGAGTGTTCTCCCGACCCTGCCTCGGACCAGGCGGCTCGCGGAGTCTTCAATTCGCGCCTCGTCGAGCCACTAAACTTCATTAGGGGGCCCTAATGTCGATTGTGCAGATCTCCAACGGATGGCGGTGACAAGACGAGAGAAGACGACAAAAACAGCAGCAAGGAAAGCTCTTGCAGTAGATATGATAGAATGGAGTGTCTTTAGAAGCCCATAATTTGTTAAGATTATTAGAATTCAACTCGTTAAGGACCAGCATTGCCTTTTGGTTTAAGGTGACCAAAAATATAGCTTTATCGCAAAATTTAGCCTTCTCCGGCCGAGAGTGGCTGGTGGCAGCCTTGATATATTTCGCAATTTCTCGGAATTTTGTGATTTGAGCGCGGGTCTGGTAACTCAAACCGCATTTTGAGGTCAGGCAGGTCAAGTCACTAGTCCTTCGAAGTAATAAGTGAACCTCTGCACGGTCTTGAAATGTCCCAACTTTGCGACAGCCTCAGTGCCAGGAAATTGCTCGCAGGGAAATGAGACATGCAGGAGATAGTTACCTCCCGAGTAAAAACCATATATACATATGTATATAAGATCTCTATGGTAAAAACAACTTGTATAATACATTTATCATTTTTAAAGCTCTCCTGAGGTCAGGTCAGTCACGTAGCATCACCGTTATAAGTAACAAGTAAATGAGAAAATATGAAAGAATTCATTTCTGCACCGGGAATAATAGGTAGTTCATTTTCAGGGTCACAGAAGACTATCTCAAGCAGCACGTGAAAAGAATAATGGCGAGTTTATGCGCTCATTGAAATGCCCATTACAGGAGCCGCTAGATTAAACATTAGAGCAAGAATATCAAACAAAATCATTTGGTACCTCGTTCACCGTGTCTTCTGGTTTGACATAAGTTCAAAGATTCCGCATGAAGAGGGAAAATTTCAGTCAAATTGAAGTTCTTAGTCATAATTCAAAACAAAAGCCAACAAATGTACCTGCATAAGTGCGGTACCACATAGAAGCCCCCGCCCTCCCCCAAAATATTCCAAAATTGTTAAAAATAATGCAACACCTCTTTAAATAAAAAACAATGATAATCAACACGCAGCAGGTGACTGCCGGGCTGACCTGACGTGCTACTGCTGCCGGAAGGAGCCGGTTCTGCCCGCTCCCACCGCGGTGGTCCCACCCGCCGTGCATCGGCAGCGGCGGCCGGCGGTGACTGAGACTCGCGAACGTGTTGAGCCAACGGCGCCCACTTATCACACCGACACAGACGGACGCGACGCACGCACCGCGAGCGGGACCAAACCGACGCGGCTGACGAACGGCGCGCGTCGAGCGCGACGGAGATACGCATCGAGACCAGTATATCGGTCCCCGTCTCACCGAGACGCGGGATCAACAGGTCCGCACCGGGCAGAGTATGGTCTGCACAGAGATCGGAGACAAACGAAACCGAGACCGAAAGTTCTCCGGCCGACCGCCTCGCGCGCCCCCGCAGCCGTTTTCTCTGCCCACCGTGACAACGTTTGGATAAGAAATCGCAGCGTCAGCAAACGTTCTCTCTGCTAGTCTGTGCCACTCTGCCATCCATTAAACGCTAATCGAATACATATGATGATGAACTCTTTAATATAACGATTTCGTGCTGAGTTTTCCCTAAACACCATGAGAACGGTGACCGAATCGGCTGTCCGGAGCCTCGGAGCGCCATTGTAGTGACACTGCAACTCAGCGTCCGAATTAGGAATTCTGGTCTGCTACCGGCTCAACCTTTGGCGGCTCTGTCTCATTCGATATATTTTCGGCGGCGCGATACTGTCGAATTCGGTGTCGGTGTTGCAGAGAGGCGATCCCATTCCGTGCAGAGCTAACAAGTCACAGCTGGGTCCAGTGGCAGAGAGAGAGAGAGAGAGAGAGAGAGAGAGAGAGAGAGAGAGAGAGAGGGGGGGAGAGAGAAAGAGAGAGAGAAAGAGAGAGAAAGAGAGAGAAAGAGAGAGGGAGAGAGAAAGAGAGAGAAAGAGAGAGAGAGAGAGAGAGAGAGAGAGAGAGAGAGAGAGAGAGAGAGAGAGAGAGAGAGAGAGAGAGAGAGAGAGAGAGAGAGAGAGAGAGAGAGAGAGAGAGAGAGAGAGAGAGATCAATTCCATCATTCTTATAAGCATTGTCCAACTGCCGAAACGCCAGGTAGCAATGATCTCGGTGTAAAGAGCATTGGTAGATCAAAGTGAATGTAGTGAATGCATCTTTTACAACGAATAAAAATAAAGTAAATCAATCGCGACACCTTAGGAGGTTATGTCAAAACCAGTGCCCGAGTGTGCTCATCTGGGTTCTACAGGCGCCCGCTATGAAGTGAAACTGACTCAGTGAGGCGAAGGGTAGCAACGTGAAACAATTGGGGTGGGGTAGAGCGGGACAAAAGCTATAGTAGAACGAGGGAGGATGGCCAATGGCCATTGGCAATGGTGAGAAGTGATAGTTTGAGTAGAGCAATGGAGAGATGGTCAGAGCGAATAAGAGATGATGGACGGTTAGAGCAAGAATGGACGGTCACAGCGAAGACGGACAGGCTAGATCAAATAACATGTGTAACAGAGCATTATATTGAGTGGCAGATAGAGCTGCGAAGAGCAGGACAGAGCAGGGAGCGGAAAGCCCTGAGCCACCGTGACGGGAGCGGCCGCGGCCCCTACGTCATCCGTCTAGTCATTTGGAGATAGGTTGTGGATTTATTGCCGGCCGGCTGCGGCCCCGGTGACACTTCTGACACCTCTGACACGGGTCTGCAGCTCCGGGCTGACGCCATGCTGCTCAGACCGCAGAGCCAGCTCTGCTCCACTAGACAGAGCATCCGGTCGCGCCGGCCGAACGTGGATTAGAAGCGCGGCAGGAGGCGGCGCAATTGCTATTAGCCGTTTTCACTACGGGCTATCTGGCGAATGCACCGAATTTGATTAAACCTGCACCAAATCTTTTTCACAACGAATATTTTTTATCGTGAACTTATTCCAGTATTTTAATCGAAAATAATGTCTCATTATTTGAAAAATGGTGTATATAAGCATCTCAAACTGATAACTTTTAAGAAACACAATGAACCTGATTTGACCAAATCTGCACCAAATCTGCACTGCACCAAATGTGTACCAGATAGCCGTCGTGAAAACGGCTGTTGATTACCAGATTGATTGTGCGTTTCAGGTAACGAGGATGACGATGAAATGTGTTTCATCTGAGCTGTAATAGATCTGAGATACCGCAGCCGCTTATTAGAAAGCGCTTCGCTTGAGGGCTGCAAATGCTAGGCGCTTTTTCTGCATACTCGAATTGCCGTTAGCTGGCATGAAAAACCGGCAACATAAAGGTTTTCTCGAGGCCACAGAAAGTTTGAAATAAAGTTGCAGAATTTAAAACATCTTGAATGAAGGGATTTGTTGTGAACTAAGACGTCAAACTACGAACATGTGCACTATACGTGTTAACATGTGTGAATGTGTTGAGTTATTTCCTTTTATTTTAAATATCTATTTAGCGCTCTTCCCATTGCAAACGGCATTGATGCAGCAATACATCACCTTTTTCTTTCTAGTTCCTACTGATAATTTGTTTTTGTCATTCGATGTCGCCAGATGGGATACATTTATGCTACATGATTAAAACTCTTACAAATTTGGATACGACATAAATGTTACTGAAGTCACAAGATGTTACAGAGTGCAGTGACTCCGATAAACTGTAACATCAATTTTCAGATAGCAAAATATCGAAAGAACCTACAGGAGATATATTAAACCACTATTGGAAAACTGCAATCTATCCTATTGAGGCCGTATGTGAAGCTAGCGTAAGCCATTAGATCCCTTCCCATTGTTGTTACCATTGTCTCTTTTACAGTGCTCTTTGCAGCCTGACTGCCGTCAGCGTATTTCAGCCAGTTGTTTGCGCCCCAACAGTTGCTGCCGTTGGGCGCACAACATGTGAAACTCCGCCCAACTGGAAAGCTGGCCGTATTGGATCGGGTCGCCTAATAGCGGGCCTCCATGCCCGGATTCGGCGCCGACTGGCCATCGTCTAGTTTCTGTGGTATAAACTGGTTTAGGGGAGATTGGATTCAGTTATAACATTCATTATATGCCGTTCTATCAAGCAGATGGCCCGGCTCATCTGTAGCAAACTTCTATAGAGTTTAACAGCGATTTGAATTCAGCCCGAGCACTGTCGGTGTCCAGACAGTGTTAAATCCATAGACTTTATACGATTTTACGTAAATGCCTCAATCTTAACCCGCGCTGTGTGGGTCTAAGCCAACTTCGCTTTGGTGGGCAAAGGTGTATGTATATGGCCAAACCATGGATTATCTCGAAAACTGAGAAAGCTCATATGCATAAGGTTATATGTAGGAAGTACATAACAACGATTTCATTATATTGTCAGTGAACCAACAAACCTGTGAAATTCAAGACTGTCATACGCCTCCGCTCGACATCCGAAGACAATCAGATCGGTGACAAATGGGTTGTCGGAGAGCGCTGACGCATAAATAACATCTCGTCCCGACGACTTCCATAGCCAATGATGGCTACTTGTTGAGCAACGGAAACAGTCTCTCGGAATACATCAGCCTTCCAACGCAAAAATCAAATAACGGATTAGCTTCAGACTGAAGGCAAGAGTATCCAGCTTTGCAATCAGGTGGCTGAATACAATAATGCATACCGACTCGTGGGTTTGATCTGGGACAGATCTCGCAGAGCTCGGTGCTCCAATATGCCACTCGTCTTCTATTTGTTTTCCACAGTCAAGCAACTGACAACTCAAAACAAGATCTAGTGGGTATTTATTTGCTCACTGATATCTCCGATTTCCAAAAGCACAGGCCTGGTGGACATTGAGACACTCGAAGCGACTCTTGCTTTTCTTTTTGATG